GGACTTTCTGGGGTCACCTGACCCCCCAGTCCTCAGCTGCCCTTGACCATGGTCAGCAGATGGTGCACCTCATTGTATCATCTCACTGGGTGGACCTTCTGGGGTCACCTGACCCCCAGTCCTCAGCTGCCCTTGGCCATGGTCAGCAGATGGCGTACCTCATCTGCATCATCTCACTGGGTGGGCTTTTGCTTTAGGGAAAAATCACATCAAATGGAAACAACAAGAAATAAACAATGAGTCTGTAGATTCAATCAGGAGTATTTGTTTTCAGTCAATCACACATTCTACTTCCTCCCTCTGTCCTCTCCATGCCCAATCCGCACCCCTCCCCTTAAAACTCTGGTAGTTGGTACATACCTGTTACCACAGGAAGCAAGCCAGTATGGCACCATCCAAATGCACAGACTCGATATGCCTTTAACCAAGCATGTGTGGAGAAGTTTCTCTGAAATGCTTGCCCTACAGCGCTGAGCATGTGTTTGCAGAACAAATGCAACTAACTAAACATTTACTCCGTCATCCTAACACTGACAACACTAGTGTGGTGGACTCTTGCCATTTTCAGCTGACTGGTATCTGAGCCCAAATTCTCTTTTGGGAAATTCCCTCTTTTGCAGGCCCCTTCTCCCTCTGTAGAAGCTGGAAGGAACACACATCTTTTTATGCATTCGCTGGCAACCAGGGCTGTGGCCTGCACATTAGAACTTTAAATCTGGAACAAGTGACACAAAGACACAGGGGTGGCCGAATGACTTGGGCGTCTGGTGGCAGATGCCTGCAGGGCCAGCAGGGCCAGCACCAGGTCCTAACCAGACAGTTCTCACAGGCAAGGTCCAGGCTGCTCGGTCGACCTTGGATCCTGCTCATTTTCCACGCCTGGTTCACCAGCCTTCCTGTTGATTGTGTGAGCTATCCTATATCCTTCCAATAAATTGCTGTTCTCTTTAAGTTAAACAGAGTTGTTATCTATTTATTTGTAACCAAGAACCCTGACTGGAACTAAGAACTGAGAATTATTGAAGAGCTATAGCCAGAACAGTTCTAAGTTCCTACGGGGAGTATTGCACTTACCTTCATAACAAGCCTGGAACCTGTTATTCACATCTGACAATAGGAAAATGAGGGCTCTAAGGTTACCTGCTGACCTGAAGTCAACAGCCAGGAAAGAGGCCGAGTTAGGGTTCAAACCCACATCCATCTGAGGGAGGCTCCTTCTCCTGGCCAGTCCCCAAG